CGTACAAAATTCTGTCACTGGCCAGAATAGAGCAGACCTGACTATCCTGGGTCTCTAGCCATGTTTTCTGAACATTTTATGAGGAACTGGTATTCCTTCTAAGAGGTTAAAAGAGAAAAGCTCCAATTTACATTTCCAAAGTACTTCCACATTTAAAATGGCTCATTATTATGAATATTTAACATAATATCTGCATAAGGAACCTGCATTAAGGTCAGATATCATCTTCCCCTAAAGACTTACTAAGAAAGCAACAAGCAAGTCACTGAGGTTAAGCTTATTCACCAAGAGTCACTGAGCACACGCAGTTTTCATATATATATATATTTTTTTTAATTGATTTCCGAGAGGAAGAGAGGGAAAGATAAAACATCAATGATGAGAGAGAAGTCAATAAAAACATATTTTTGAGAAATGGTTAAGATGATAAGTCTTACGCGTATTTTACTACAATTTAAAACAAAAAGGGGAAAAAAATAAATAAATAAAAATTTTAAAAAATAAAACAAAAAGGGGGCCCTGGTTGGGTCGCTCAATTGGTTAGAGATTGTCCCGATACACCAGTTGGGGATTCGATCCCCGCACATATAAGAAGCAATCAATGAACGCATAAAAAAGTGAACAACAAATCAATGTTTCTCTCTCTCTTTCTAAAAAAAACAATCCCCAATCAAGAGATTTCTTTTAAAAAGAGTGGATAGGCCGAAGCCGGTTTGGCTCAGTGGTAGAGCGTCGGTCTGCGGACTGAAAGGTCCCAGGTTCGATTCCGGTCAAGGGCATGTACCTTGGTTGCGGGCACATCCCCAGTAGGGGGTGTGCAAGAGGCAGCTGGTCGATGTTTCTCTCTCATCGACGTTTCTAGCTCTCTATCTCTCTCCCTTCCTCCTCTCTGTGAAATATCAATAAAATATATTTAATAAATAAATAAATAAATAAATAAATAAATAAATAAAAAGAGTGGATAGTCCTCAGGGATGAGCCAACCACTTTCCACAGCATCTGTGGCCTGAGGGTTAACACTGACAGACCACACACTTTTTCATCAACAGAAGGGGGTCCGGGGGTCCAGGAGATTCCTCCCAAACACTGATATCTGCCCATCCTGTTTGGCTCAGTGGATAGAGGTCAGCCTGCGGACTGAAGGGTCCCAGGTTCGAATCCGTCAAGGGCACGTCCCGGGTTGCAGGCTCGATCCTCAGTGTGGAGTGTGCAGGAGGCAGCCGATCCATGATTCTCTCTCATCATTGATGTTTCTCTCTCTCTCCCCCTTCCCCTTCCTCTCGGAAATCAATAAAAATAATTTTTTAAATTGATACCTAAATTCCTAAACTTTGTCTAATTTATAAATTAAAAAAGTATGAAAGTTCAAAGTTATTCACTATTATCTTATTTCTCACACCATACAGATCTGGCCACCCAAACTGTGCCAACAGCAGCCAGAGCCTTTACAGTGGAAAGGAGCCCTGGTCAGTTAGCTCAGTGGTTCGGGGTTTGGTCCTGCCAAGGTACATACTGGAATCAATTAATGAACGCATGGATGGGTGGAACAGTGAACTAATGTTTCATTCTCTTCTTTCTCCTCTCTCTCAAATCAATCAAGGAACCAACAGCCTTCAGCATCATCAACCCCACCTACAATAGTTCTATAGGGCCCTTTTCCCTGAGGCTCAATGACAATCTTCCCAAATAAGTCTCTCTTATGCTGCTGCACTGCAAATGTAGAAAACTTCACTGGGATTTTCAATGCAGTTCACTAGTTTCACTTAAAACTGGAAGGAATTCTCATCATTTGCAGCAACCTGGATGGAATTGGAGAACATCATGCTGAGTGAAATAAGCCAGTCAATGAAAGAGAAACACCACATGACCTCACTCATTTATGGATAATAAAGAACATTATAAACTGATGAACCAAAAGATAGATATAGAGACAGTAAAGCAACAAGCAGACTGTCAAATTACAGCAGGTAGGGTAGGGAGATCTGGGGGAGATAATAGATCAACCGAAGGACTTGTATACATGCATATAAGTACAACCAATGGACACAAAACTCTGGGGAGGGAGGGTATGCATGGGGGGGCGGGGGCCCAATGTTAAAAATATGTACACAGATAATAATTTAATAAAATTAAAAAGAAATTAAAAAATAGAAAAAACTGGACCGGTTCAAGGGCATCATCTAAAAATCACACGGGTTTGAAATCAAGATTTAGCCTCTGCAACCGTCTTCAACAGAGAGGCAAACGGAAGGCAGATGAGAGCACGGCAGCCGAAGCAGAGGCGCCCCTCTGATGCCTAGCGGGAGCAGGGGGAAGGGGGAGCGCGGGGAGATGGGTGCCCTATAGACAGCGCCAGCCGGATATGCTCTACCCTCAACTTGCCACACTTTCCAAGTCCCTTCCAAGTCTCTCCCAGGAGCGCGGTGGAAGGCAGCCACAGGGCCTGGCACGTGACTGAGAGCCTGGGAAGGAAGGGGTACCCTCATTTGCCCTAGATAGGTCATGCTTGCCCTGTCTGTCACCGAGTTTAAACGGAATGTACTTCTCACTTCCCAAGTACAAAGCAAGTGCTTCAAACCAAAGCCAAACTGGGGGCCACAAAAGGAGTGTGTGCCTCTAGGTGAAGGTCACGTGGCACACCTTCCCAGAGCCCCCAGCTCCAGGATCTCATCGCTATCCCTCTTAGAAGCTGTATGAGTCCCCTTCAGCCCTGGTTGGTAGGTCAGGTGGCTGGAGCATCACCCTGACAGCCAAGGTTGCAGGTTTGATCCCCAATCAGGGCACATACAAGAAGAACCAACGAATGCATAAGGGGTGGAAAACCAATGTTTTTCTTTCTCGCTCTCTTCTCTCCCCTTCTTTTTTATTATTACTTCAGAGAGGAAGGAAGAGGGAGACAGAAACATCAATGGTGAGAGAGAACCACCCATCAATCACCTCCACACTTCCCCAACTGGGGATCTCTCCCTTCTCTCTCTAAAAAAAAAAGATCAATAAATTAAAAAAAAAAAAAAGAAAGAAAAAAATGAAAAAGCATTCTCCTTTTAAAACAAGAGAAAAGGATGCAGTGCAGACATTTTTGCAATGATCCCGAGGTCGCTTCACGGTAAGAAGCCGTTCTGTGACCTAGTTTGGGAAACAAAGCACCTGGCATGGTTATGTAACTTAGGCTCCCCTCAGTGAGGACTGAGCCCCAGCACCGCTCATTTTAAAAGCACCAGGTTACTAGTACGAGGTCCCTGATCCAACCTCACCCGCTGCCTGCCTTCCTGCTGCCCTGGTTCTGGGCACAGGAGACAGGCGCCTCTCTCTGTGTCCTGCCTGCAAGGGCGTCTAGCACCGGGCAGCACAAAGCGGGGGAAGGCTGCCCCATCTCTGTGCAGACCCAGGCGCCAGCTAAGCTCAGGCGAGTCGTCCATCGCTTTTCCAATCCAGTCGCTTCGTCCATTCGGAGCTGACTCCCGCCTCTCCTCATCCTATCTCTCTAACAAGCAGCATCACAAAAAATCTACAGCTTGTTCCACAGTTAAGGTAACAAAGAAAATTCTGGTTCTCAGCCGAAACCGGTTTGGCTCAGTGGATAGAGCGTCGGCCTGCGGACTGAAGGGTCCCGGGTTCAATTCTGGTCAAGGGCATGTACCTTGGTTGTGGGCACATCCCCAGTAGGGGGTGTGCAAGAGGCAGCTGATCGATGATTCTTTCTCATCGATGTTTCTAACTCTCTATCTCTCTATTCCTCTCTGTAAAAAAATCAATAAAATATATTAAAAAGAAATTTTAAAAAAAATTCTGGTTCCCAATTTTCAGATTCCAGATGTAATTTCAAAATACCGTTTCTTTCTATTCCATATACTAACCTACAATCTCTAGCAGGCTTTATGCAGTGGCAGTATCCTAGCCAATGGGGTTTAGCCGAGGCGTGATTATTGCTAATTGAAAAAAATTAATAAAAATAAAATCTCTAGCATAACTAGTTTGCAAAAAAAAAAAAAAAAAAAAAAAGGGAGAGAGAGAGAGAGAGGAGAGAGAGAGAGAGAGAGAGAGAGATTTTAAATACTAGAAGCATGCCCTTGCTAGCAGTAGTTAATCAAGGATGAAACCAACTGAGCTTCTCCCGGAAGGTCTGTGAAGTCCTACTCCAGACACAAACAGAAGACACTATCCCCACAGAACGTCAGTGCACATGTGCGTGTTACACACAGACGTGACCCCAGGCCACTGCCCAAATGACACCAGTTAGAAAAGCAACGGGAGCTCGGCTAGTGTGGCTCAGTGAACTGAGCACCGCCCAATGGACCAAGAGGTCCTGGGTTCGATTCCTGGTCAGGGTACATGCCCAGAGTTTCAGGCTCCATCCACAGTAGGAGGCGTGCAGGAAGCAGCCGATCGATGTCTCTCTCTTATTAATGTTCTCTCTCTCCCTCTCCCTTCTCCTTTTTAATCTAAAAACCAATTTAAAAAGAAAAGCAACAGGAGTGATTGCCCTCCCGGGAGTACCCACACTCTGCCTTCCTCTCAGGCGAGCAGCCCCTGAACTCTCAGAAGGGTCCCCCCAGGACTTGCAACCAGGGGAGCAAAGGCAGGGGCAGCTTGTCCTGGGCTGACTCCCCGAACCTGTCTCCTCGGCCCCCTTCCTCTGACTTCCCAGTGAGGCATCAGCCCCGCCTGATAACATTCCCTCCCTGTAACAGTTCCGAGTCACAGCAGCCCTGCCGGGCTCTGCGGCTGCTGCTCCCCCGTACGCATGTCCTGTCACTGTCCCGGCTTTAACAAATGTTTGTCCTACAGAAAGCAAGCAGAAAGGAGAGGAAAGCGACAGGAGACGGCACCTGAGAAGAGTCCGGAGTTGTCGATGGGGCCAGGGAACATGTTGTGCTCGCCCACGTTGTACATGTCCCAGCTGTCGAAGCCCACGTACTTCTTCCACTGTTTGAACCACCGGTTGTCAATCAGATACCTGGAGAGAGGCAGAGATTTACTGCACCAGAGGAGCTGAGGTGGTAAGTTTCTGCAGCTGATCCCTCAGGTTTTTTACGGACTTTCCATTTGAGGAGCAAGCAAATCCCCACTAAAAAAATCATCTCCAGAGATGTCGCAAGAGGCGGGGAAAGGGCGCAGGGTTTGAAACATGGCGGACGACGTGGACCAGCAACAAATTACCAACACTGTCGAAGAGCCCCTCGATCTTATCAGGCTCAGTCTGGATGAGCGAATTTATGTGAAAATGAGAAATGACAGGGAGCTACGAGGTAGATTACATGCTTATGATCAACATTTAAATATGATATTGGGAGATGTGGAAGAGGCTGTGACTACCATAGAAATTGATGAGGAAACATATGAAGAGATATATAAATCAACAAAACGGAATATTCCAATGCTTTTTGTCCGGGGAGATGGTGTTGTCCTAGTTGCCCCTCCATTAAGAGTTGGTTGAAACAAAGAATACATCCTGAGTGGAAATTAGGAGACTTTATATGATTGCGTCTTTAAAGGTAGAAGATATTCAAAAGAGAAACCTGCGTAAATTTTGATAATAATAAATGACAAAGGAATCTTCTGCTCCTGAAATGAGTTTATGTGCACATAACACAAATTCTTACGCTAAATGGCATTTTTATTTTTCTCCAACCCTTCCAATAAATGTGATCACTAAAATGCAGCCCTATTTTTTAGGCGTTAATTTGCTCCATTGGTTTTTCCAGACAATTTCTGTTTTTTTAATTTAAATTAAACTTGATGTTTTCTTTTTTTGTTTAAAAAAAAAAAAAAAAATCATCTCCATGAGGATTGGGGCCAGGCCCCACAGAGCACAGAGCTCATCGATACTACCCATTAAGTGAAATGATTGTTGAAAGAGTGAATAAATGAAAGGAAGGAAATGACTGGTTTCAAAATGCTTATTTAAAGGAAATATTTCTATAGATAAAACCTTGTTTGCCAATGATCAAGTCACTAATTTCATAATGATTTTATAGAGGTTCTCTTCCAGTTAGACAATTGGGTTACACTGCTTTGCTTGACACAAACGGCATTAAACTAACTTTCTTTCTGAAAGTGGGATAACAACACTCCGCACTTCAGAAGTCCTTTGAAGGCTAAACAAGATACACTTTTTTAAGAGTTGTATTTCTGTATATATGTAGACACACACACACACACACCAACAAGAGTGTCTAGGTTCATTTACCTTGCCAAAAAAGCGAGTTGATCTGGTTATATTTTAAAAGTACCCCTGTGTTGTTTTACAAATAAGACAGAAGAGGAGGAAAACACCTGTGATTAAACAAAGCACAACATTCAAATCGGTGGGCCCTTCAAGTTTTATTTATGGCCGGAAGGTCCCATAAATACATCCAGATCTCTAAAATGCTCTTTCCCTCCAAGTGCTGTGTGAGTTTAGTCTCCCTCACACGTCCTCTGCTTCTGCTGAGCATTCTGCAGGAATCACCGTATGCAGGGTGCCTTCTCAAAGTGACTCTGCTGCCCTGGCGGCTGGGGCTCGAAGCTGGAGAGCCGTCCTGTTCACCAAAAGGTGGAGGGTCCCATTCCCCCTAGGGCACAGGGCCAGACTGCCCCGTCAAGGCCTTGCAGGGGGCAGCAGATTGGTGTGTCTGTCTGTCTCTCTCTCTCTCTCTCTCTCTCTCTCTCTCTCTCTCTCTCTCTCACCGGTGTTTCTCTCACTCTCACCCTTCCTTTCCCTAAAACCAATAATAATAATAAAATGTAAATGCCTCCGCTTGCCCTGTCTTTCAAGAACACTAGAGCCGCATGTGAATTCCTGCTAATGCCAGCGTCTCTCCTCTCCTCCCTCCTCACCTCCCAGTCCCCGGGAGAGGTTACCGACGCCGCCCCGGTTCCAGGAGGGCCGCCCGCAGCGCCAGCCGGTCCCGCTCCCACAGAAACACGGCCCAGAAGCCTCTTCCCTCATCCCTTCCACTAAACAACTTCTCCGGGAATCCGGCCTCCGGCTCCTCTCAGCGCCGGGCGGTTCGTCGTCCTCTTCTCTAGGCTCCCAGGGCTGCGGCCACATTGTTTTCGGCATTTGCTACTAAAACCGGCTGGCGCTCGCACTCATTGGTTCGGCTTCAGACCTTGACACCGGCTCCGCAGTTTACAAGTTACTAAGTATCTTCTCCGACCCTCGCTCTCCCCCGGGGCGGGCGCGGGGGCGCTCCGACTAGGAGGGCCGGGCGGGAGGTGTGGACGCCTTCCCCCAAGGTCACTCGGCGAGTCCTCCGGGGAGGAGGGCTCTCCTCGCCCTGGTCCCGGGGAGCCCTCCCTCCCCGTCCCCCGGCCCGCAGCCCTCTCCCCGCGGGGCCGCCCCGGGGCCCCCGAGAGCCGGGACGACCTTCAGCTCCGCCCACGCTGCCCCCAGGAGTGACCTCAGGGCCCGCCCCGAGGGGCCGGGGCCGGCGCTGTCCTCAGGACCACCGGCTTCGCCCCCGCCGGGCCGCTGCCCGAGCCGAGAGAGAGGGGCCCGGCCTGAGCGCCGGGGACGGACCCGACCCCGCGCGGCGGCGAGGGGAGCCCGGCGCTCACCACTGCGCCCCCCGCTGGAGCGTGGTCCTCATCAAGGCCCCGAGCTCGGACTTCTGGGTCTCCGCATCTGGTCGCTCCCCGGAGCCTCCGCCTTCCGCCATCTCGTCCGCGGCCCCGGCCCAGCCGACCCGGACATCCGCCTCGCGCACAGCGTGCCGTGGGCCACGCCCCCTCGCACGCGCGCACGTTCACGCGCACGCGCGCGCACGCTCCTCCTCCCCGCGGCCCCGACTGGTCTCCCCGCCCCCACGCGCCCGCCTCTCCCGCGCTTGCGCAGTGGGGCAGGGAGGGGCCGGAAGTGGGGCCGCGCGGCGGGGAAGGAGCGGCCACTTCCTCCCGCCCTGCCGTCCGCCCCGCGGGTCCGCTCCCTCCTCTGTCTGTCCAGCCCCGCGGCCTCAGGCAGCAGGGCCCGCGACCCCTCGGTTGGAGGGGGTCACCGGGAGGACGTGATGGCCGGCTGACCCGCGAGCTGGGTCGGCCACCCCCCGCCCGTCTGTCCTGGGGGCGTGCGTCCCGCTGCCTCGGAGCCGCCTAGAGAGGGGGACGCGGTGTGGACATCTTGGGGAACCGGTGGCGGAGGAGTTGGGCCTCTGTCCAAACTTCAGTTTCCTGGCGGGCCCGTAGGGGACCAGCCGGGCTCTGACCTCTGGGCGGCCGGCCTCGGGGACCCAGGTCCTCCGCGTTGGGGGGTGCACATTACCCCCGGGAGCTCCGGAGCCCCCACCCTGAGCTGGACTTGCTTTGTCAGGGGCGGAGCACCAGGGAGGGGTGATGGCCTCGGGGGGTGGGGAGAGGAAGGCGGGTACCTTGGCCCAGGGGTGCTCTCCCAGGCTTCTTACTTTGCTGCGACAAGGGCAGGGTCCTGGGCACTGTTTTCCACTGAAACCTGCACACAAGGCACAGCCCCCCGCCGGCAGGGGGTTGAGAGTGACCACTGCTGCGGAAACCGGTGTGGCTCAGTGGATGGAGCCTTGGCCTGCGGACTGAAAGGTCCCGGGTTCGATTCCAGTCAACGGCATGTACATTGGTTGCGGGCACATCCCCAGTAGAGGGTGTGCAGGAGGCAGCTGATCGATGATTCTCTCTCATCGATGTTTCTAAATATCCTCTCTGTAAAAAGTCAATAAAATATATATTTTTTAAGTTACCACTGCTGGTAGTTCTGCTGCTAGAAGCCAACCCCAAAAGTTCTTTGAAATGGTTAAAAATGTTATAAAGGAGGAACACTACCGCCAGCCCTGCTATTTATGGAAAAAGAAAGTTGGGTGACCGAAATGTCGTCAGAACCTACATGGGAGAGTCTGGTTCCCGCTTCTTTTTTTAGCAGCTTCTGTGCCGTGTGAACCCTTTGTCTTAGGGAATGAGGACATGGCCTCAGCCCCACTGGAAAGGAGGACAAAACCTAATTATGAAAGTGAAAACTTTGGGACATTTTTTTTTTTTAATATATTTTATTGATTTTTTTACAGAGAGGAAGGGAGAGAGATAGAGAGTTAGAAACATCAATGAGAGAGAGTCATCGATCAGCTGCCTCTTGCACACCCCCCACCGGGGATATGCCCGCAACCAAGGTACATGCCCTTGACTGGAATCGAACCCGGGACCCTTCAGTCTGCAGGCCGACACTCTATCCACTGAGCTAAACCAGTCTCGGCCATTGGGACATCTTTTTAAACCTGGATCTCTCCAGTGCTGTTGAGTGGCTGTGAAAAGAGTGTACTGGTTATGGGTACTTCCTAAGGTTTCTATTAAGTTACAAAGTGCCAGTAGTTAAAATTTCAGGAAGAAAGGGAACCTTCATAGTCAGAAGGTAATCACTGATCATCATTTCCAAAGTTTTTAAAACTTTTAAAAAATGATTTGTATGGATTTCAGGATGGAAGGGGATGGGGGGAGAGAGAGAGAAACATCAATGATGAGAGGGAATCATTGATTGGCTGCCTCCCGCACACCCCATTCTGGCTATCAAGCCTGCAACCCAGGCAAGCGCTCAGACCTAGAATGGAACTAGGACCTCCTGGTTTATGGATTGATGACGTTCAGCCACACTGGCGAGGCTTAAAACTTTTTGTTAGTTTGATTAAAATGTAAAAAAAAAAAAAAGAAAAAGAAAAAAAGTTAAGCCGAAACCGGTTTGGCTCAGTGGATAGAGAGCATCAGCCTGCGAACTGCAAGGTCTTGGGTTCGATTCTGGTCAAGGGCATATATAATACCTTGGTTGCGGGCACATCCCCAGTGGGGGGTGCGCAGGAGGCAGCTGATTGATGTTTCTCTCTCATCCATGTTACTAACTCTCTATCCCTCTCGCTTCCTCTCTGTAAAAACTCAATAAAACATATTTAGAAGAAAAAAAAAAAAAAAGTAACAATGAGCCTCTGGGTGTGTTCTGCCGTGGTGGGATGACCAGTACTTTTGGGAGGAAACAAACTGAGTGATTCAGCTTGAGAGACACCCTGGCCCCAGGGCTGTGCTCTTTGAGCCATTTGCTAGGGAGAGGTTAGGCTACTGGGCCACTCACTTGGCGCCATAACCAAACCCCAGAACTTAACTTGTTGCCATGGGAACGTGGGCCACAAAAAAACAGGAAGGTAAGCAGGAAGGAGCTGGAGGAAAGTGGGCCGGCTGACGATTGGTCACGTCCTCCTTGGTCTTGGTCAGGGCTGACTGAGGACTGTAAGGTCTGGGTGTGTGAACTTGAAGCTTTATTTGGTCCCACGTCATAAAGTTCTCACCCTGGCTGGTGCCATGGCTGGCTCTGCACTTCGCTGGCTTTGGTGCTGCCAAGTCACCCCAGGTCCAGCTTGGCCAGCAGTCAGGGTGCCTGCGCGGAGTTCACAGATCATGGGCACCTTTGATAAGAGGAGGCACCAGGAGAGACACGCACTTGCTTCCTGCTTGCCTGTGTGTCCTTACTGTAAAGAAGTTAAAAGCTGGAAGAGCATTTTTGAAGAATGAAAGGTCCTATCGGTGCCATAGAACCTCTGTTACATAAGCATTAGGTTTCTGCCCACCTGGCGTGGCTCGGTGGTTGAGCACTGACCTATGAACCTGGAGCTCACGGCTGATTGCCGGTTGGGACACGTGCCCTAGTTGCAGGGCGTGCAGGAGGCAGCCAATCCATGATTCCCTCTCATTGATGTTTCTACCTCTCCCTCTCCCTTCCTCTTTGAGATCAATAAATGTGTCTACATACACTGAGTGGCCAGATGATTATGA